GGGGGTGGGGAGTTGCTTCAAGGAGGTAGTATCATGGACAAGACAAACAAATATGAGCACTACCACTACAGCTGAGAAAAGATGGTGATGGCAATGCAGAAAAAAAGAAATAGGCTGATGGAAAAGCTACTTTTGTCTCCTGGTAGCCCCTGGGAAGCGGCTGTAGGGCTGGGGACAAAGAAAACCTGTCCAGACTTCTGGTCTTCAGCCTACACTTCACACAGACACCGCTGAGTACTAACGGCCAGGTAGCAGAAGACAGCTTCATGGGAAAGCTCAACCAGACAGTGTCAGGAGGGCAGGTCAGCAGGGAATGGTATTCACGTGGGTGGAGAAGTCAAGAACACTGAGAAGCAGAGTGTCCATGTGTTTAGCTAAACAAGGACACCATATGTCGTATTTCACCTGGTAGTAAAACAGAGTATGGAAGAAAAAGCAGGCAGAGGCAAAGCTCAACCAGACAGTGTCAGGAGGGCAGGTCAGCAGGGAATGGTATTCACATGGGTGGAGAAGTCAAGAACACTGAGAAGCACAGAGTGTCCATGTGTTTAGCTAAACAAGGACACTATATGTCGTATTTCACCTGGTAGTAAAACAGAGTATGGAGGAAAAAGCAGGCAGAGGCTGAAAATGTAAAAGCATGCAAACACACACGACACAAAGGCAAAGAAGGCGAAAACTGGGAATTAAAGGTTTAAGCAGGGACGGGGGCAGGAGGTAAGGGAAAAGGAGGCGGGGAGAACTGAAAATAAGGACGTATGGAAACAAAAACCACTATATGTAAGCTAATTTAAAAATTAACTTAAAAAAAAATAAAAGGAGTTTGGGCTGCATGGGTAGAAAATGATTCCCCCAGAAGACATGGGCTATTAAATGAGTATTTCAGTACCAGGCATGGGGATACCTCCCTCTGATTTACTGGTCGAGAAGGCCCAAGAGGTACCCCGAACCACAGAGGAATACTGATATTGCACTTGGTTGCCCATCAGAACTAGATGGTAAGCCCCTATTGCTAAAGACACGGCATACTTTGGTTGCAGGGTATAGCAAAATCAACCTGGAAGTTTGAAAACTTCTTTCCT